TTTTTAGAAGTTTTGATTGATCAGCAGGGAGCCAAAATCATTCTGCTGCCAAAATCCAAGGGGCCATAAATGGCCAGCAGGCTGCATGTAATACAGGCCTGAGATGCACAGAGGTGGGTAGAGTACCTAAAAATTGTACTCAACTAAAAGTACAAATACTTCATCATTTTTCTATTCAACTAAAAGTAAAAAGCAGCCATTCAAAAAATTACTCATAAGAGTAAAAAATGTATTTGGTAAAAATGCTACTCGAGTTCTGAGTAACTGATCATAACATGTAATTTAAAGGTAAAGTGGAGGATTTTCTTTTTCCAGGTGGATCATCGAAATAAGTGGTCTTCCTAGTTGTCAATCATTCTGGTGATAAGTTTACGTAAGGCCGGGGGTGAGTCTGATATGGTGGAAAAATTGCAAATCTTCTTTTGGACAGTAAGGTTGTATGAGCGATGCAAACAGCAACTTTTAAACAAAGCGTGCATAAGGAGAAATGGGCTGGTGCACGCTCTCACACGCGTTTAATAGGCATACCCTCTCAGGGACGGCTACAGGGTTGTGCATGTGCATTTTTTTTTTTAAGTTGAGGGTAGGTCTTTTCAAAATTCACGAAAATCCTCCACTATACCTTGAATGTTTTAAAACTGATGTAAATTTACAAAACGTATAGTTATCTGTAAAATTTGAAAATGAGATTAAAAAATGAAGATATAGCATTCAGTAATTACACAATAATGCAGGTGGAAGAAACACAAATACATTTTTTTGCTATAAAATCTCTGAAATCATTACTGATTTGCTTTTATGTATGTGGGTTAGAATACAATAACTTACTTCCTGTAATATGATAGAGTGAACTGTATTAAAATAAAAGACCTGGAAGAAAAACAGGAGTCTTACTTTGACATTAACTGGAGATGTTTGTCTCTCTGGTGCATTTTTGTTTAAAAAAACAGTGTGTTCCTTATTTAATGAAGAAAGGAAGCCAGACATTTTCCACAAGTAAGAATAGTGATACCTTAACATATGTTTAATCAAAAGTAAAAAGTATGATGCAGTACAGTTTTCTTAAAAAGTTACTCTAATAAATGTAACTAAGTAATAAATAATGAAATAATNTCTTTTATTTTTAGAAGTTTTGATTGATCAGCAGGGAGCCAAAATCATTCTGCTGCCAAAATCCAAGGGGCCATAAATGGCCAGCAGGCTGCATGCAATACAGGCCTGAGATACACAGAGGTGGGTAGAGTACCCAAAAATTGTACTCAACTAAGAGTAGCAATACTTCATAATTTTTCTATTCAACTAAAAGTAAAAAGCAGCCATTCAATAAATTACTCAGAAGAGTAAAAAGTGTATTTGGTAAAAATGATACTCAAGTTCTGAGTAACTGATCATAACATCTAATTTAAAGGTAAAGTGGAGGATTTTCTTTTTCCGGGTGGATCATCGAAATAAGTGGTTTTCCTAGTTGTCAATCATTCTGGTGATATGTTTACGTTTATGTTACGTGCTTGTTCCCACTTTCATTTCCTGGTGGTGAGTCTGATATGGTGGAAAAATTGCAAATCTTCTTTTGGACAATAGGCTTTTACGAGCGATGCAAAAAGCAACTTTTAAACAGAGCGTGCATGAGGAGAAATGCCCTGGTGCATGCTCTCACACGCGTTTAATAGGCGTACCCTCTCAGGAGCAGGTACAGGGTTGTGCATAGGGGTCTAAATCACATCCATCATGGCGATTCGATTCAGTATCGATTTCCTTAGCCAACGATTCGAGAAACAACAGCAAATAACAGAAGTAGAACAGTTTAACTCCACCCATTCCTATTAAAACCTCATCACTGAAAAATAATAATACCCCTGCGTTATAGATTCTGAAAGGCCTTGCATCGAAAAATACTGCACAAAATCAGTGCAATTCAATGCCTCGGCTCCAGACGTCCTCACCCCCTCCACAGATGCTCTGCTGCACCTCTCCCAAATTGTAGCTGACCGGCTTGTTTTGTTTTTATGACTGAAATGGCGGAAAACAACTCGTGAAGTTTAGACCCGCTAGAAGAGCGAGGTGTGCAAGAACGCTGGGACCCTTGTTCCACCTGGATCTCCGCTCTTTTTGGCCCTCATGTCCCTCCGTCGTCGGACTAAACTCGCCCCACCATCCTCACCGCCTCGGCCGTATCTAGACCCACAGCGTATAGTGCCACCGCAGCACGGGGGGAGGGGGCAATTATGTCCAGGAGCAAATGGATAAAAATAGACCGGAGGGAGAAAAAAAAAAGAATCATTACTCTTGCGGACGTATCGATGCATCGGATCGTCGGCTGTTGGATCGAGGCATCGATATAAAACGGTTATTATTTACACCCCTAGTTGTGCATGTGCATTTTTTTTAAGTTGAGAGGGCAGGTCTTTTCAAAATTCACGAAAATCCTCCACTAAACCTTGAATGTTTTAAAACTGATATAAATTTACAAAACGTATAGTTATCTGTAAAATTTTAAAATGAGATTAAAAAATTAAGATATAGCATTCAGTAATTACACAATAATTCAGGTGGAAGAAACACAAATACAATTTTTGCTATAAAATCTCTTTTTACTGATTTTCTTTTATGTTTGTGGGTTAGAATACAATAAGTTACTTCCTGTAATATGATAGAGTCAACTGTATTAAAATAAAAGACCTGGAGGAAAAACAGGAGTCTTACTTTGACGTAAGTAAGAATAGTGATACCTTAACATACGTTTAATCAAAAGTAAAAAGTATGATGCAGTGCAGTTTTCTTAAAAAGCTACTCTAATAAATGTAACTAAGTAATAAATAATGAAATAATTTCTTCCACATTGAATGTACAAGCTATGTTTTGTCAAAAGTACTTTAAAGGTGTNAAATAATTTCTTCCACATTGAATGTACAAGCTATGTTTTGTCAAAAGTACTTTAAAGGTGTTTTACTCATCTTTGACAGAGGTGGAAAAAAATATATATGGCTTTTGGCCACAAGAGGGCAGACATGTCCCATGTCTCCAATATCTTAATCTACATTCTTGTAATTTACAAAAAAATAAATAAATAATCTATAGACTCCTATATAGTAATTTTGAAATATTCATTGAATAAAATTTGAATTTCCAATTCTTGTACACATTATGAAATAAAATAATTATTTTAAGATCCTATTTTTTTTTTTAAATGACACTATAGTGGAAGCTTTGTGGTGTCTGACAGAAATATTAAAGTAGGTATCTGTAAAAACTTTACTCCTTAGATCTCTTAAAGCTTAATCTACTCTAATCTGGTCCTTTGACCAGTGAAAAGATGTAGAGGTAATGCAGTGCTCTCTTTGTAATTAAATGTTACATTCTCAACTCTACCGGTATATAAAAAGAACAATTTGCCTCTTGATGGCAGATATTAAAGGAAAATCTGCTTTATAAAGCTGCACACATATGGACACGTGTTAAAAGCTGGATTTTTAACCATATTTGAACCATTTAGGTGGTTATCTGGTTTAACTGGTGGTACAAATGTAAAAATATCTACTTTTGAGTTCACTATATTTGTGTTTGAACGGAGAAATATCTTATCAACCTGTATTCCCAATGAAGGCAAGAGAACAAATAGTAAATTGCACAGTTTTATGGCTTTCAACTAGAATTTCTCATTTAACATATTCAAGCTCCAACATCCAACACAAGTTAATGCAGCATGTTCCACCAACCAGCACTCAACATCTTCTCTGGGACAGAAGGTTTACAATGAATAAGGATGAGAGCTCACCATAGAAAGTAAGGTATCCAAACAGAGCAGCCAGGAAGTACATGACATACATGACTGCAATGGAGATATTGGACACATGCTGCATCTTTTTCTTGGTAGGACTGAAATCAGAAAATATCATCATGTGGTTAAAAAAGAATACCCTTTAATAATCTTTTCTAAGGAAAATCATTTGTTAGCATATTAAACCAGGCTAAAAAAAATGTACCTTCACCTTTATCACTGAAATAAATACACATTAGCTGCTTGCTTTAATGTGGGATCGCATATATAAGTTAACAACATGCAACACCACACAAAGCAGTGCAGAGACATTTCAAAACACAGTGAAAGCAGTGCATGTGACTAGAATATGGCAAGCCAAGCACGAAGCACAGTCGCTTTCCTCTGTTTATTAATGACTTGTCCACAACAAAGTTAGCAGGAGGTTTCGATCATAGGAACATACTTGCGCAGCTCTGTGTAGATGGGGAGGACCTCAGGGTGGCACACAAAGGCGAACGCCAGGATTGGGATGGTGTAGGCAGTCTGTAAATGAACCCCAACAGGTCACCATAGATACAGCAGCGCTATCCCAGACGTCTTACCACCAACCTCTTGCTGTACTGCCCATTACTCCCTCAGACACATCACAGAGAGCTAATTGTTTGCTGTGATTAACTTTGGCCTGGCAGCAGACCAGCTTTAGCCTATTCAAAAATGCCTTGCTGCTTTGTGAGCTGCTAACCAGCTGGGATCGGTCCTGTTTTTATAAGGAAAAGTATGGGATATGGAAATTTGAGAAAAATCAGAAACAAAGGATAGTAGCTACTGCTCTGGAAAGTAAAACTGTTCCAGGAAATTACAAAAAATATAAATCAATCTACAATTAAGAAATGTCTGATATTGCATGTAAAGGGAAAAAAAACACTCACAAAAAAAGTCTGCCTTTGCATATTTTTGTGATCCTGAGATATCAAAACTGAATGTTTTCTTTCTGTGAATCAAAGCCATCATATTTGGCACATATGTTTCCTAATGGGTGCTGGACACTTCTCTTGTTTGTCTTTTCTGTCTGCTGCAGACATTTCATACCAACCAAAGGGTGGTAAAGTACCTGCTGTGACACCAGCTCATTTAAAGCAATGTTCAACTATTTACTCTTTGCTGACAGTGAGGAGATAATATGTGACTTTAAATGAGTCGAATAATATCGACCGGCAAGAGTCAACTGATGCAGATAAATAACCTGTGACAACTGGACAGAAGTTTTTAGAAAATAACATGATGATGATTTCTGTCACACTTAAGATCTCTAGATAAACGGACAAGAGTTAATAACAGACAGATGACTTCGATCAGAAGAAAGGACAGTTTTAAAACCATTGTTTCAATAATTAAAGAAAAAAATATGGCCCTATGTTAAATAATATTTTTTCTGTATGTAAATCTGAGTTTAATGTACCCAGAACTAAATACTGCAACTCAAGTAAAATCCAGAAATCTTCTGGAAACATGAAGTAGGCTAAAAGCTTAAGAAGCAAACCAGTCATGACCTGATCTAAAGAAACTTAAATATAGACAAGAAACAAAGTCATCAATGTCTATTAGTCTGGTAAAAGGTTATATGAAGCTTTAGGGCTGAAGTGCAGCACATAGAGAGCAGTTATTTCAAAAGACGTCGCCCTTCCAAAGGACTTTACTTATGAAGCAACATTACATGTCAGGTGATTTCAAAGTGTTTTAAGTCATTGAACAATTCTTCATGTTGATCATGGTAAACTATGTTGTTGCCACAGCTGCCCTGGTGCTCACTGAGAGAAGCAAGGCTGCAGTGCATGGGCACCACCGGGCCTAAGGACAGCATCAAAAGTTTCAGGGCTCACTTGTGTTGGTAAAGGTCAGAGTTTATGGTTTGAAAATAAAGACGCTGATCAAGAACTGCATCTATAAGGAAGTTCTAAGGTAAAAACTACCTCTGATGGAAAAAAAAAAACACAAGGACACAGTTTATTTGTATGAAAAAGAAAAAAGATTTTGATGAGCTCTTAGACATTTTCAAAAATATTCTGTGGATGTTTTCAGAAGGTTTATATCCTGTTCAGTTTGGTATAGATCGTTTACAGAATATCAGGGAAAAAAATACGCCTCATATTGGGGGTGGGGCAGTATATATGGTCTGGAGCTAATTCTGGATAACTTGCAACAAATGAGGTGAGGCCATTGATTCAATTCTCTTGAAGAGAATCCTTAAGGAAAATTTCCAGCTGACAGTTTGTGACCTTAAGCTTGAGAGCATTTTGGTTCTGCAGCAGGATAATCATCAAAAACAAACAGCATGTCCACTTCTAGATGGCAAAAAAATAATATGGGTTTGGCTTAATTGAAACATAGACATGTTAAATTGAGTTTTTGTAACATCCATTAATAAGCTGTTCAAGTAATGCAAAAGACCAATGACAGAAGCTGAGAATGGCACAACGGTTTATATGTATGCCGGACATTTACTTTTTCACACAGGGCCAGGTTGGTTTAAAAAAAGTATATCTCTTTGTACAGAGAGACATAAACTAGTATTCCTTATTTCAAGGAAAATTATTTAATTACTGGAATAAAATGGTAGTACCAAGGGACAAAAATGGCAATATATGGGTAAAAGATGAGGGTACAAATTAGCAAAGAGGCAATCTGAGTCACAACCTTTTCATTTTGTCTTTAAGGTCTTTATCAGTCATTGCATTAGGTCTACAGAGGTTTGCAGGAGATTCTGATCTGTGGATTCCCATGCTTTGATTGTGAGAAGAGACTGGCAACATGCTGATGACTATGACATAAGTGGGTGGCTTTCAGTGCCCATAGCAGTGCAGGTGAACTTGCAGTTTTTGGTAGACAGTAACATGCAGACACGTACTTGTGTGTTGAGGTTGGCCATCTTGGGAATGCAGGCCGGATTGTCTTCCCCACCGTATTGTTTTGAAGTGACATTTAACACACTGCCAGTGCTATTAAAAGCAAAGTCCACAAATGGACATGGGAGGTTGAACTTCTTGTAGATGACCTGTGCAGAACGCAGAGACAAGAGGTGTTAAAGCAATACAAAGAGCAGGGAGACAGTTAATATTTGGACTGGCTGGAAATATGTCAATGAGCCAGATAACAAAGAGAGAGAGAGGGAGAGCAGCATGTAGATTACAGCTCACACAGCAAAAACTAGGTCAGAGGAAAAACATAGCCTGGGACAACAGCATGCAAACATTATACCAAAAGCAGTGAGTAGAGAATACTAAAGAGCTGGTGGAAAGACCCCCAGTGCATCTGATCTGCATGTAACAGACCAGGAACACGAATCAACATGTGATATTTGAACAGTAGTAAACATGTATATACTTTATGGTCAAAGGACTCACAGAAATGAGGAAGAAAACCATGCAGCTCAATGAGAACCCACTGGTGTATCCCAGATATCCTGAAAAATATACACTTCATTAGCATTTATTATCATGACCCTGGTTACTGTAGCCCTAAAGATTGCTATATGTTATATAGTGCCTTTCAAAAGTTTTAATACATCCTTTTTGTTGTCATGTAATAACACAAACTGTGATTCAACATATTGGTATTTTATGTGAGCAGATGAAAGTGCAGTAGATAGAAAATCATACATGGATTTTCATGTATTCATTTTTACAGATTGAAATCTAATCAAAATGCAATTTGTGTTTCTATTCAACCTTACTCTGACATCCCTATGCAAGAAAATAACCCTATAAAAATCACCTGGTAACATCCACCTTTGTGCGTTTTAATCAAAGCATAAATATAAAATATTTATGCAATTCATTTATGCTCAGCAATAGAAGGAAAACAGTAAGCACAAAATGAGAACAAGAGGGAAGTAAATTCCTACATGGTCCTTGATTGATACAGAACAAATCTATATAAACAGCACTCCAATCTTCCACATAGATTTAATGTGAGCAAAATAATAAATTTCAGCTACATGCCGTCTACAGCTTGTACAGGCTGACAACAGCATGAATAACAACAAATGACATCAATACATGAAGATGGACAAATCTCTAAATGCTAGTTCATGTAAACGAGAAGCATTCTCTTGCTCACATTGAAATTCAAGAAGAACCATGGAGTGCTGGTTATCCAGATTTTTTTCTAAGACATTTTTATTGTGGTCAATCAGGAAAAGCATTATTTTTTTCCTACATAGATTTAGTATGACAGGGATCTAACTTGAATCTGTCTAGTGCCTCTTTTCTCAATTTTCATCCTGGATTTCTTAACTTATCTTATCTATATGGCTTAAAATGAAAATCAGTGCTAGAAAAAAACAAACATACAGATTGTGTTTGTTGAACATAATTTATTTTAAAAACCTGTGTGATTATCGAGGGAAATATTGCAAGTTAGCAAGTAAACAGAAATGATTTGGTTAAAAACATTTTTACCCCTTGGAATAATACTTATAAATAAGAAACTCTCAGATAAGAATATAAAGACACGTCTAGCTGACTCAGACATATTTGCAAAACGATTTCAATGTATAGGATGACAGGAAGGTCAATAATACATAATAGTTTGTTCTGTCCTTATACCAAATAAGCATGTTTGACGTTTTGATGTCATGACTCATTTTGCAATCCTAGATTTCATCTAAAACCAAATAGGCTGTAAAAATGTTTCTTTATCGGAAATTTGACTTTGCAAAAAAAATTTGCAGACAATTTTAAAACATTAAGAATAGTTTTATTATATCAAACCTCACAAAAATAATTCCTGACATCACTTTTAACATTTTATATTTAAATATTAAATTCAACAGCTTTAGAAACACATTTAACAGCGGCCTGAAGTTTTTGTTTTTTTCAGTATGATTTTATAGTTTTCTCTAAGTGTTGTGGAAGAACCTGTGGCTCAGGTTCATTGATATTTGCAAATATATTTGTCATTTATTCACTGTTTCACTGCATCATTCCAATAAGGAAATGATAGAAATCACTCTGCATTGTTGCAATAGTCTTGTTTTACATTTGTTCAAACTTTTCCAAGTTGTGTAACAACTTAATACATTTGCTAACAGATGCCTACTGACTAAGACTGTTTTTTAGTTGTTTTCTTACTAGTCTGATCATTAGATAGACTAATATTTGCATGACAGTGCCTCTCCAAGGAGAAATGAAAACCATTTTACTTTGTTCAAATTGTTTTCTGTAAGTCATTACTGATGTTTTTCCATCTTGACCCTGAGTTACGATATTCTTTTATGAACCATGAGGTTGGTAAACTCCTTTGATGACATAACAATGACGATAATGAACAATTCAACAAGTAATTCTGATTGACAGCACATCACTGCTTTCCCTGTTGAATCTTATAGAAGACCTTTTTGTACTTCTTGCTTCTGAATATGATCCAGCAGCAGTAGTGATTAGTATCAATAATTCATATTTGATGCACCAGAGGGTCTTACAGTTGTCGAAATAAAATTGATGTTGTCTTATAATGGCCAAAATATAACCCACTCACCGAGCTGTTTCATCAGAGCCAGCGGTAATATCACTGCCACAGAGACGATAATGACCAGATAGTTTCCATCCAGGTACCATTCGCTGTAGAGAGGCAGACAGACACAGCAATTATGCAATTATTGATTTGACATTATTATAAAGACTCCCCTTAGACTTGAACAAATTAAGCATTTGTACTGTTTTAATAAGATGAAAAGGTGCAGGGTTTATATAGTGCGTGGGGTTTTATAAGCAATTACTTTCTATTTTCTACTTTCTGCTCACAGAGATGGACATGAATGTATTGTAAAAACAGTCATGCATAATTATTAACTTCAAGGAAAAAAATTTAACGTATTTTTTTCCTTTTAGAAAATTCGTTCACAATAACTTTGAATATCTTAACATCAGCAGGTCATAAATTAGTCAGAGAAAATAATAATATTTTTCCTAATTTTTTTTTTTTTGCTTTGTTGAAAATTGGTTCTTGTTGCATCAGAAGCTGGAAATCTTTCTTTACACTAAAGACAGCAACAAACAATGACAAGACAAGGAAAACCTGCACAAATAAACAAACATTAAAGATTTCAACCAAAGGTCAAATAAATAATTTCCTTCTTACATGAGCGAATAGACAGACAGAGAAAATGTTGCTTCCCTTTATATGTTCAATATTTTTGTTTAGACAATATTCCTGTGAAATAAAAACAAATTCTTAAAAATTCTTATTTTCCTCCAGTTTTAACTCCCGAGTGCAGAAAAAATGCAATATCTCTATTGTTTCTAAATAGAAATCTACCAAAAAAGAGAATTGTTTATATGTATCTTAAATAATTACTGAAAAAAGAAATTGTACAAACTATTATTCATAAAAAGATAACTGTTCCCATTTCAAGCTATGATTTAATATAACTATAATTGAGCAACAATTGTGACAATGGATGACTAAACAATTTGGTATCATTAAAAACTGTTAAACTTTCATCTTTGACTCAGTCTCACAGTATTTCCTATTTTAGACAATAATATTGGTAGAGATTAGTGTGCAACTCCTGACACAGATTCCCCCGATACAATTATCTGCATGTTAAAATCACATTTGGCACCTCTGTCTAGGAAAGAAAGCTCAGAGGTTTATTTTTAGAGCCACACAGCAGGGGTGATTAATTTCTTGCCCTCTGTCAGGTGGGAGCCACAACAACCAGCAGCATCTGTTGTATCACGCTCATTAAAAAAAAAAAAATGTGTATGAAACACTTAGAGTATTTTGTATGTTACTGTGCACTCTTTTTAAGAATCTGAATAGTTGAGAAAATTAAAAAACAATAATTCATCAGTGTATTATTATTAAGTAAGGTGAAATACTAATGGATGTGTTCTGGATGTTCACAACACAATTTTTTTTTTAACTTTTACGGAATTCACAACACAATGTTTATATATGCAGAGCATGCAGAAAGGCATGCCAACCTGAACACCACATGAAAAGCTTAATAACTCTTATTACAGACATTCCATATTATATTCTGCCCTCTGTTGTCTTTTATTTCTTAGTATAGCACAGATTATCATATATTCCTGATCTTGAGGCCAACCCTGTGTAATTTAATTAAATTAATCCACATACTGGCAGGATGGGATGCCACCAGGACAACCTAGTTTGTCATTTTTGATAGCCATTGATTGTTTACAGTGGCCCACAGCTACACAGTGAAAACAGGCTGAACACAATGTGTGCATGTTGTCACTTCTACGACAGTGTTACTCAGTGCAAATATTTCCATGTAAAACACTGCAGCAGCAGGAGGTGTAGTTTTCCTCTAGATCATCTACGGTAAATACAAGGGAGCCAAAAAATGTCTGAGCAAAAACTTCCAAGAAACTCTTGACCCATTTAATAAATGGTTGTATAACTATTCTCAGAAAAAGAAAGCTGAAGAGACGCCCTAACCAGAACAAATTCATGGAGAATCAAATCGATGAGAACAGGTTTTGTTTGTCTCTGAGGCCACCTGCAGTAAGCAGTGATGTCCCACAGTTTACATTTACAGCTGCAGAGTCTTGCTGTGTTTTAATGCTATCGCTCTCAGAAGCCATGCCGCTAAGCCCCATAAGCCAAACTATGTGGGGTCACAATCACAACTGATCTCAAACCAGCTGCTCCAAGAATAAAATATAGAACCCAGCCCAAGAACTGGCACATCTTTGGAGGATTTTTCAGCAGACCCTCAAATCTATGCTGCTGATGGGATGACTCACTTTCTATCCGCAGATTTTGGTATTAATTGTAACTGACACTTTTTTGTCTTTACATATTTAATTGCATGTAAATAAAGTTCTTACAATTTTACTTCATACAATATTGAGGTTTAGTGCCTAGCAAAAGTTTTATTATACTTATGGCTTCTTCAAATATTGAATGACTGTTTATGTGCAAGACCAACACAAGGTAGGTTTTAATTGTGGATTCGAAGAAACATAATCAAAATTTTGGTGCTTTAAAATAAAACTTTAAAAACTGTGGTAGAATTAACCACTTTACTCTCTTTACTGTAATTCTCCCAAATAAACTAAATATGCTATTGCCTTTAGAACACATAGTTATTAAAGAAAGTGTTCCTGTGCGTGACATAATCTTAGATTTGATGTAACTGTTCTGTGAAGGCCTCAGAGGCTTATTTGAGAACTTTAATGAACAATCAATAACATGAATGCCAAAGAACTCAGGGGAAACGCCACAGAGAAAGTTCTGAAGACGTTTACATCAATGTTAGGTTTAAGAATCAATGTTCTCCTTTGAAAGTCACACAGCTCCATCATCTGATAAAGGAAAGACTATGGGACCACTGCAAAATGTCTAAGACAGGAGTAAACTCACAGGCCAGTCAGAGAGCATCAGCAAGAGATGTACATGGTAATTCTTGAGGAGGTTAAGAGACCCAAATAATAGGTGGGAAAATGTGTTCACAGGACAGCTATCAGCTGTTTAATGCACAACTGCTTTATTCTAAATATCAGAGGTAAGAAGATAGAAGTATTGTTGGAAAAAAGCCAAAAGAGGTAACTATTGTAACTTGGCACAGGCCAGGTAGAAAATACATATAGAGAAAATGAGCTCAGGCAAGAACCTACTGCATATTAAACCTTTTGGATCACATAGGAAATACTATGGTGGAGGAATATCATTAATGCAAATTGCTATGAACAAACAAAATAGCAAAATTATAGTTCCTACATGGAAAAAGCTGCGATGTGCACATCCTAAATGCAAAAGCATTCTACATTTTTTTATGGTGGGAAAATAATGAAAAGCCATGTATAATTTCCCTTTTGCTTCAAAATCATAACCATTTTCTTTTGGTCTATAACTTTAAATTTCCCATAAATCATGTGAAAAACTATAGGGGTGTCAATACTTATGTAAAGCACTTTTTAATATTTAAAAATTAAATGTTAGTTATTTTCATGCAAGATTAATATATCAGCCACTTACCCTGCAGGTTTGTCTACCATCAGAAAGGCTTGGATGACCAATGGGAACTCATACTTGACTATGTAAAGATAACTGGACATTGCTGTGGATCAGAAAGAAATATAGTTATAGTAAAACAAAAAAAAAGGCTTTTATACACTTGAAAACACATGACGTTTACTTCCAAATAGAGATTGCAGTAAATATTTTCTGGAAAATAGTTAATAAAAACAGTGCAACATTTTTTACCCTTATTCTGAAAAATAGCTTAGATTTTGCAATATTTAACTAAAAAACAAACCTCTTGAAAGAAAAAATCCAACAAATGCTTTAGTAACGTAGTTGCATAGGTCCGCACACAATAAATCCATACATGTTTGCACAACTTCTCGATTCAAGCACAGTGTTTTATTGGGTTCATACGTGGCATCTTTTATGGAAATAAGATTGTGTTGGCAGATCAAAGTTAAAGTAATACTGTGCAAAGGAGGTTACACAGGATCAAGCTCTCTTTGTTCCGAGGGTATCAGTCAGGAAGAGTAAGGTGCAGCAAAGACAGTTATCAAAGATTAAATTTCATAAGGAGAGAAACAGGAAAGAAACTGGTCATGAACTTTTAAGTGTTATGATCGAATTACAACATCACTGTTAGGTTTCAGCTGCGCTGCAACGCAGCCCGTCCCTCTGACATCACATTCTCAAAGAGCGGAGCCTTTAAAACCACCAGAAGTCCCCTTTTCTTTGTCTTCCACTGGACCTCCATCTGGATGTTTAAATGTTGGAGTTTGGAGAATTTGGAGTCTTTCTATGGAACTCAGTTAGTGATGGACCGTAATTCAGATTTTCACCTAGGATACAACAGGTTCTGGAATTCTGTGTTATGCCAAAAAGTGTTGCCTCTGGTATTTATTATAGAATCATCAATAAAGCGCATCCACAACCACTGTAGAGAGGCCTTAGTTTTTGACGCAGCCAACCCAGGTTCAAATCCAACCTGTGGCCCTTTCCACATGTCTCTCCCCTTCTCTCATACCCCCTTTCTTGTCAACCTACTGTCAAAAAACTTGCCACCAGTGCAAAGAAAAAAACCCAAAAGAATAAAAAAAAACAATAATTGGCATTTGTGAAAGGATGCTGATAAAGAGACAATACAAGTTCATCTTCTGACTTCAGGAGCCTTCTTAAGCCTGGATTTTCCAGACTTAAACTACAGCTTGAGAAAGAAAACAAGCATTTTTCCAAAAATCAGGCAATGGGCTGAAAATAAAACAAAGAAAAAACTGAAAGAGACAAAAAAAATCCTAGACAAATAGTGCCTAAATGTTTACAAGAAAGTCTGGCTCCTTAAAACTAAAACAAATACAGCCCACATTAGCGAACTTGTAGAGAAACAAGGAGTCATGTAAGCATAGGACCTCACCTCCAATGTTCTGGAGCGTTATGGCAATACCTGCAGCCATCTTTCCTGGGGTCCCAAAAGCCCTGTAGCCAAGCTGCTCATATGCACGAATACCTGAGCCACAAGCACAATGAGAAGGAAGAATCTGTTACATTCACAGTACAGGCTTTTAAATTTATATTTATAATTATATTTCTAATGCATTTCTAATGCAACACCAATTAAGTCAGCCTATACATATACTGATTACAATATAAAATTTTTGTTTTCAGAAAAAAAAGTCACTGATGCTTACGTACCTACAATACCAGATGACTTTAGCAATAAATGGATGGAATATGAAGAAAGAACAGCAACCACTGTGAGGAGCAACCTGAAGTAAGCAAATAACAGACCTGAATTAACACTACTGCAAACAAACAGGCGTAAATAACAAAAAGAGATACCTTTCTATTTTGGATATTTACACTATAGGATCTCAGGAGGATATTTATACAGCTGCAATTCAGAGCATATGTTTCAAATAGATTGTACAAGAAACCCTTTGGCTTTCCCTCACACCAGTCTGTTGGTCCAGCTGAGCAACAAGAGGTTGCCCTATGAGCCCCATTGCCCTGTCACCAGAGCACAAACACACCAGCTGGCCTCTTAAAAGAAAGAAAAAACAAGAGAAAATTCCTATGCAAACATCTTTATTTCTGTTAATATGCTCTGGAATAACCCACTCATCACAATAAGTCACAGCTTTCATTTTCAGCAGTTTTATAAAGAAGACCTTACTTACTACTCATGTACCTGTTTTGTATGAATTTTCAGGATTCAGATACAGATACAAGGTTTTAGTTACTATTCTTATTTTGGATTGCAACTTTTAATTTTCAATTTTGCTCTCTTGCCAAAAAATCTTATTAGAAATCAAATTTTATTTAGACACCCTGAAATCTTTCACTATGATCAAAAATGTAAAAAATCCAAACGTTTTAGACAATAAATTAATGGCTTTATAGAGTTTGTGAATGGTTACCTGTTCTACTAGCATTCTTTGACCCAGTCCTCCTTATTCCTGTTTTCGCCTTTGTCTTTTACTACTACTGGCAACATTAACACTCACTCCCACACAAACACTTGGTTCAATCCCTCTCTCCCTTTAGAAAATCCAGACAGCTTGGACTTTCACCTCAACTTCAACTCTTGGCTGGCGAACAGTTTTCCTTTTCTACAAACTATGTGGGAGAAAGCTTAGCTGACGGAGGTTTAGAGTCAATCAGTCAAGTGGAAGTGGGAAGACAGATCTGCTGACACTCAGACAGACTGACACACTTGGGTCTCTGTTGCCTGGCTTGCTGAAATCCAACCCCACAGCATTCCTACTCACTGGACCACTGACCCATACTGCACCCCCAGAACAAATGTCAAAAAAAGGACATTTCCCATGTAAAAAATGTCATCAATTGTTATTACACCTGCAAAACTGCAAGTGGAAAGGAAAAAAATATTAAATTTAGAGATGGAAATTGGACAGTGGTTTAAATCTGAAGAAGCTCAGCTTGATCAGCCCCAACTGATGCATCAGTGGCTAAACTCCTAAATCCTATCTTTGTTCTGATCAGTGAATGCTTGCTTTAAAGAATCGCTAAATATCCATATATATGGGGATGTGTTCTTTGATATAGTTTTACACAGGTTTGATTCAGTTGTATGTTTCCTTGCTAGCTGTTCCTTTAGTGGTCTCTGCAGGACCCTGATCTGTTCACAGATTTATACAAAGAAATCACACAAATTTAAAAAACCTTTTTAAAAACAACTATTCTTCTACTTTTTTTCCATTCATTCAGACTGCAAGACAGTATTATATAGCAGGATGACTGAATGTTTAATAACAGAAACAGTTAAGTTCTTACCCTTTTAAATTTTCAACGTTTGCCTATCATGGAAACTGCTGGATTTTATGTCAGATGCCTTTTGGAAATGTCTTCTAGTAAATGTTAAGGATCTATAAACTCCAGAATATGAACACTGAGACTGATGTTTTTACAATATTAGAAGAACTGAGTGTGTTAGTAGTGATGATTGTGATGTCATAAGTTACCAATACCAAAGTTTAAAAATTAAGATAGGATAATTATCTTTATAATATAGATTACATATAGAAACATTTTGCAGTGGGGTCTCCCTTTAAGGCCTATACCCTTACCCTTAGCTCTGTGTGTAAAACTAATGGATGACTTTTAAGTTATTTTTTTAATCTGATTTATATATTTTTTATTTAAACCACATAAAAAGAAAACATGGCTTCAATATTTTACACTATCCCAAAGTTGTTTCATTATAAATGTGTTAAGAAATTTAAAGAAAGCAAATAAAGGAGCTGGCTAAAGTTCAGGAAGTAGTGAAGTTTGGGCATATAGCCCAGTCCCTGGTGTTATATTAAAGATAAATACCTCAGAGAGCATTTTTTTTTAGATACAGATGGAACTATGATTAAAGTTCTGTAAAAAGAAAAATTCTAATTAATCTTATTAGGGATTAACTGTGCTGTGTTGATGTTAGTGTTCTGTGTGTTTTGTGTTACTTAGTTTTCTTTTATCACCACAGTGAACTGCGGATGTGTTTTCCTCACACCTGCTCCTCATCTTCTCAACACCTGGTGTATTATTAGGAGCTGGCTGGCAGCTTCTTATCCCAGAGTTTGACCCATGTGGTAACCTAACCCCTCAGAGCTTCCTGCGTATTTTAATGTGTTTCTTAAAAGGTACCACCTAACTGAACATTACTTATGTTTTTTGTTTTCCTTTTCAATGGTACATGAACAACATTGCCATAGGTTTCTGGATCTAAACACCTCACAGGTTTCCTCATGGCTGCATATACCCTCCACCCACCAGTTCTACTTATCCACCCTGTAATACACCCATCCCTCTGGTGGCTTCATTCAGAACGCACCCCAGGACTCCACTCACTCATCTTGACTTACTCCCTGCAGCATCCACTAAGGCCTATTTACCTTTACCTTCTTGCAATGCCTTTTGTTATTTTTCTATTTCACCTCAGAGTCTACCCTCCAGTGACCTGAGACCCAAGGAAGATCCCGGAAACAGAACTTCTCCCTTAGAAAAAAAAAACAACTTGTTGCTATTTTTCGTGGCCTCCTGTGTGTTTCTGCAGGACAGCTAATGCTGTTTGTTTTCAACAAAGTTTAAACCAAACAAATTATTCACAGAATCAGTCAAATCACCTCATACAACAAATCAACACGTACATGAATCAAACCAGACTTTAAATCAACATGATTTTATTCCTATCCCAGTCTTTAGTAAGTCCTACTTAATTTAGTAGTCTTAGTCCTATATAAATAACAAAAAAAGTCAAAAAACACTGTAAATGTTAGAGTTGGATAAAAAAAAAAATGTGAGGAAGAGACAAAGACCACTATCTCAGGTGGATGTTAGCAATGCATCTTTCTTCTTTGTCCTCAATGAAGTGGCAACATCATTCCAAAGTTCATGAGAGAGAAAATGCGCTGCTCAAGGAAATCTGCTCAGTGCCAAGAAGGAAAACAACCTTAGGAAAAAAATGTTGACTCTGACCAGTGTTTCTGGTGACATTTTCCTTTGGTAATTTTTTGAGCAAATACTTTTCTTTGGTTCTCTGATTTTAGTAGGACGGATGCCCTGGGGTTCAGAATGATTCAGCATACTGGTGGAAAGGAGAGGGGGCAATCTTAGGCCTGCAGTCCTATAAGCACCACAGAAAACCTGCCAGTATTTCCCTGCCAAATATGTCACATGTGTTGCTCTCAGCAGCTACTCTACTTTTTACACAGGAGTTGTTATAAAGACAGACAAACAGTATTTCGTTTGTAACACAACATTGAATTGAAAACTATCAACTGCAGGTAGTCACGTAGTGCCAACTAACAAATGTGTGCATTAATATATATTGTAGTACAGCTGACTAAAGGATTATTTTCAGCTTCTGTCTTGCCTACAGTCAGAACTGTTGCTGTTTGGTGACAAGGAGTTCAGCACACTGGGTCAGCTATCACCCAGTAAAACCACAACCAAACCACTCAGATGTAAACAGCCTAGGGCTGGGCGATATAGAAAAAAAGCTTATCGATAAAAAAAAAATGCATATTGATCGATATCGATAATTATTGAAAA